TACGAAGTCTGTTCGAAAAGTATCGCGAATTTGGAATTTCTGCGGGCTACGTAAAGAGCCCAGCCGGGTAAGCATGTGAAAAGTGCCCTTAGACCTTTCGAAAAAGTGACAAAGCCCAATGTTCCGAGATACTCCGGACCTGTCTATACTACCGTGCTCGATTCTCACCGCTGATAGTTTATGAATTCGCCATAAACCGTATAGCGCTACGAGCGCTTGGGTCTGTATGCAGCACGGTCTGTAGGTCTAGTCAGAAACATGAAACATGGACATGAGTAGATATGAGTGAGTTCTGACTTCTTTTCTGTGTTTTATCTTATCTTCTTATTATTATTTTTATTTTTTCTTATCTCGTGGAGGGGGAGGTTCTTTTAATGTGGCAAGGTATCGTTTCGCAAATGGCCACCAGGGCAGCACTGCGATCGAATAGTCGATGGAATACCGTTGTTTTGAGTTTTGGAAATATTTAATAGTTTTCTATCACTTTTAAAAATCCTAGAATTTTTTGCACTTCGTCGTGAACAGGAAAATAATATTTTTTTATCGGAGATTCGGGTGCAAAATAAAAGTAAGTAAAAAGGATTTTGAAACTACGTGGTTTATTCAACAGTGCCGCAGTACCAAATAGTGCAAAAATCTGATGAAAAATCCTACAGATTTTTTTCACAAAGAACATCCTAAAATATTTAGCACTTCGTCGTGAACAGAGAAATAATATTTTTTTATCATTATCAAGGTACGAGTAGTAAACATAAGTCATGCATGTAGCCAGGAATAATAATAATATTGGGTTCAGCCTTTCAACGGAGTTTCAGAGATTAATAGTCGATTTCTCGTCGTATAATGATACTAATAATAAAGGTATGATGTATGTTTCTGATGTATTTTTGAACGTCGAACCCGATGGCGCGATTGGTTTTATCTTAGAATGTAATTGAAAAGTGCTATAGTCAAAAAAATATCGAAAAACTACTGGAAAGCAGCTGCTTTCCACTAGTTTTTCGCTTTTATCGTTTTCGGGATTAGGCCTACCATAAAACCAGTTACACCATTGTGTTTACGTTAAAAATACGTCGAAAACATGTATCATACTTTCATCGTTAGCTCTACCGCGTAATGAAAAATCGACAATGAAACGTGCGACCTTCGATTTTCCATGTATTACATGTGGGCAGGCTAAGATTGGGAGTTTAGTCGTCGATTTCTTAGGGTGTAATGGGTCTGATGATAAAAGTGTTATGCATGTTTTCGACGTATTTTTTAACGTAAAATACGATGGCGCTATTGATTGTATCGTGGAATGAAACCAAAAAGAGCTAGAATCGAAAAACTGGATTTTTTATTCGTTTTTAGTGGTTTTTATTTTTTTTAGGTACCTTCTACCACCTATAAAAATCTGAAAAAATTCACACATATACTCCTATCTATGAGAAACATTCAAGATTTTTTTCGGAGTTGCAGGTATGAATGGACAAAATTGGCGTTAAATTGGAATTTTCGAATACCTTTAAAAATTTGAATTTCGCGCTAAAAAAATTTGGTGTTTATAGGTTTGTAGCTCTTCAAAAACCCTACAACTTTTGTATTTACAGTTTTTAGGTATCTTCACAACCAACCGAGCTATTGTTAAAAAACCTAAAACCACAAAATAGTGTCCCATTTTGCCCCATGGGTCAATATGGGTCTGAAAATTTGGCAGAGGGGGTTTCATTATAAGCCGGAACATTGGGCTTTGTCACTTTTTCGAAAGGTCTAAGGGCACTTTTCACATGCTTACCCGGCTGGGCTCTTTGTTTTTTGATTTTTTTGTAGCGTTATGTTGGTATTCGTGATGCTGACAAGTTCGGCCATTTTGAATGTTTAGTTAATTTTTGACATCTGTTTTGCTTGGATGTGTTTTGGCTCGTCTTTGATTTTTGCCTATTCTAAAAAAAGCAATCCGCCAGAAACATCTGGATTTGTAGAAGAACAAAAACTGACTTTTGCACCATGATAACGCCCCTGCTCACACATCGTTACTTGTGCGCGAATATTTGACCAAAACAACACAGTAATGATGCCGCAGTCACTGTAGTCCCCAGACCTGGCCCCCTGTGACTTTTTCCTGTTTCCAAAACTGAAGAGGTCCATGAAAGGACGACGCTATGCCACGATTGAGGAGATAAAGATAGCATCGAAGGAGGAGCTGGATAAAATCACATAATCTATTGAAGTGTTGGACACCAGGCACTTCTAATTATTAATTGAGATTAATTAATATTTCAGGGGAGTGCCACTCTGAACAATGATTGACTCTAAAAGTTTTTAGCTAAAGCTATAAGTGAAACGTTTTATAAGGTAATTAAATATTTCGGTCTTTCACTTAATTAGGTATATTAGGCTTATGAAAAATTATCCGTGGATTAATAAATGTAGGAATATGTTTGCCCGCAATATTTATCCGCGGCTTAGCTCCATTCGAAACTTTGTCGTGGCTTACCTTGATAGCAAACAGTCGGAGTAGATTCAGTTCAGTATATTTACCAATTTACATAAAATTTTTCTTTAATTTTGGTAAAAGTTGTGCAAAAATTATTGAAATGTTGCAAACAGAACAACAATCTTCGCAGTGGAAGCTGTCATCTGAACCTCGACTGAAAAAAGCCCGTCAAAATCAAAACAATATCCAGGCAATGTTGATTGTTTTTTTCGATTATAAAAGCATTATGCATTATGAATATGTTCCTACAGGCCAGAAAATCAACAAAGAGTGCTACGTTAAAAAGATTGCGTGATGCAATCAGGAGAAAACGACCGCAAATTTGGAAAACCGGTGACTAGCTTTTACATCACGATAATGCTCCGGCATACGCATCAAACCTTGTGCAGCAGTATTCATTGAAACACAGTGTTGCGCAGCTCTGCTAGCTTCTATACAGTTTCGATATAGCTCCCTGCGAGTTTTGGCTATTTCCTCGATAGAAAATCCCACTTAAGAAACATCGATTCGACGATCAAGCGACTGAAAACTAATGCGAGGAATGCACTAAAGATGATTCCGAAGTCTAACTTTCAAAAGTGTTTTAATAAGTGGAAACATCGATATAAGCATTTTATTCAATCAAATGGGGACCTCTTTGAAGGATGCCATCCCCTGAATGATAAAAAATAAATCAAGCGCCGAAAAATCGAGGTAAGTTGGATACTTTTGGGACAGATCTCGTATAATGACTCCAAACTTATACTATAAATTTCGTGTACGTGTGTGTGTGCGTGTGCGTACATGATCTTGCTTCAATAGCTAGTATTAACGCCCTTGTTTTGGATCACCGCTTGAACACGTTCTCGCATACTGATACATCTCTGAATGTTTCGCTGAATTTCCGTAAAATTTTCGATCTGGCTACGACCATCTTAAAGTAAGGTAATAATACGCGGCACATCTGTGGCAGATAGATATCGCCTAAGCATGAAATATAAAAAAAAATCAAATATTTGAGGTAGTTCAAAAAAATTTTTTAGGGTAGTTTTGAAAAAAAAAACTGTTTTGTAGTTGTTAGAAAACTGTATTTTAATTGTAGAAGCTGCAGAAGAAATACATTTTTTCAGATTTCTTTAAAAAAAATTTAGAGTGATTGATTATATTTTAAAGTCAAAATGGACTTTCTGCTTTGATCGATGATTACTCTGAGCTAAATCATCGTGTAAAGTCAAATCAAAACTGATTAAATTGCTTAAAAGAGCTTGAAAGTCGCATGATCAAAGACAATTTTTGAAGTTCATGGATCATGTTCAAGTGAAGAAAACTAGACAAATTTTTGTTGTTGATTTTTCAATGACTACTTAAAAACTATCTACACTAACAAATTTTACAGCTCTGATCTGGAAACTAGAAACTCAAAGCTACAACTTTATTTTTTCTTTCTATATAACCATTTCTCTACGAGTTATCCCTTTTTGAAAATGACTCTAAAAATTTGGAATTTCCTTTATATCTCTTAATGTTTGTGAGTAATGCATATATATTAAAATCGGTCGATTTGATCGTTTTTAAAAATTAATATGTATGCGACTTTCGTATACTTTTTAATATGCGACCGCTAATTCAATTTATTTACGCTGATACTTATAATTTACGTAGTTTATATTCAAGCAAAGATATTTACAAAGCATTCTTTCAAGGTAATTGAGCAGTTTATGGAAATGAATTTCATAGTTATTTGAATGGTTTATAAATGTAATTAGTCTCCAATATTTCACGAACGAAATCTAAGACCAACATGTACTTTCAATTGAAATTCGCATTAAAAAAGCCTTACCACCAAACAAATTATTTATTCAATTAGTGACGCCAAAAAGTGCTTCACACGTCCTTATCTTCATTTTCATTGTCATATTGATTAATATATTTAATATAAACTACTTTTTCAAAGGTTTATTTTTGAACTTTTTTACAAAGCACATGTTACAAAAGCAAAATATATATTAATCAAATTATTGCACGTTTTCCAAATTCATGATTTACCATATCGAAAACTGATATAAAAGTACTATTAAACTTTTATCGTATTGTTTTAATAAAAATACCGACATTGTAACATTTATTTAAATTTTATTACTAATAATTTTATTTATTAATAAGAGAAACTAATCAGAACAATTCCAGAACATAACCTTTTGCTAGTTTAAAAAAATTAACTTTAAAACAATTAAACTACACTTTTTTACTGTTATTATCTTTACAAGGACTCCTATGCATTATGATAAATTCAATTTTTATCACTAAAATCTCTAATGACTTGAAACTATATATAAACACATATGGTTGTCGTCACATAACAGAATACCATGTAACCATATCTTCACCAATCAGCTCACGAATAAAATATTTTAACATGTCATCTATCACTTTTTACAAGTAGATATTTACTTGTCGATATATATTTCATATCCCACATATAATATTTAAATTATTTTAAAATCTATGAAGTTTTTCATTCATGGTCATTTCTTAATTTCAGGCTACAATTAAACAACTAGTGACGGTAACTGAAATGCTGAGCAAACACAAACAGAAATATAAAGAAATGTTGCGGTAATATCAATAAAGTTATTAAAATTACGTAAATATGAGTGAAGTTCTTCAAATATACGAACAAATTATTTCTACAATAGTAATAGACTGATGTGCCATATACTTACGTACGCTATACTTTTGTACTGTTCTATAAATGATGTTTTATTGTAAAAAATAAAAAATAAATCTTTCTGATACATTAGTATTTTTGTTATAGGTTCAATTTAACTGTATAACATTTATATGTACATTACAAATTTTATTTTAACCTATTGCCAAATCCACAAATAAAAATTACTTGTAATTATATTTACAAATAAACGATCAACGTTCTTCATGAAATGTTCTTTATTGAATTTGTAGACAGAAAATGAAAAATATTATAAGATCAGTTTATTTGCAATATAGCCAGAAATAGATTTTTATTAATCAAAAACAGTATACTTCGCGCTGTACAACGTTCATATATTACTTTGATACATTACATCACATTAAACGCTCATGTCCTGATCGAGGGTTGAAGTTTTTTATCGTTTGAAGTAAATGACGTTACGTGTACATGTATTATTAGCTTTTTGCTTCGTACTTACCTAGAGCAATTATAGGATCAATATGCGGTTACATATAATAGTGAAATGTTCATGCAGATTCTTTGCATGAAAAGAAAGTAGATAACATTCGAATTTTAGTTCAAACGTCGTGTTGGATATACTATCTCAATTTCTATTTACTAGAATAGATAAACAATGTATGTTTTATGACAGTATATTCCCTAGGGACTAGATATTCAAGTATTTTGATCAGTATAGAATTGATAGACCGATTAATTTCTTTTGATGGGAACTAAGGACCCTGTGGTATAGGGTCTGTCGCTTCCCTATGCTTAAGCATATGTTTAAAGATAGATCTGTCGCTAGGACCCAGGCCCGATGCTTAAGTATATATGTATGTATCAGGACAGGTTTGTCCCCTGTTCTGGTAATTTTTGATGAGTAAAATTAATTTATAGGCAGATTGATTTGATTTTAATTATTATTTTTATTGTGCAATCAAATAATGAAAATAGAAAGAATGCTTTACCACGTGTTTGGCTCAGCTAGTAATTTTCAAAAAAGGAACGGACGCGTCGAGAAATCGAACCAACGTTCTCTGAGTCCACAAGCCAGCGCTCTACTATACAAGCCACTGTGGGGCTTACCTTGTACTGTTCTCAGTGTGTATAAATGCTAGCTACGTATTTGGCATAGGGTCCGAGCGCGTGTTCTCTCTCTCTCTCTCTCTCTCTCTCTCTCTCTCTCTCTCTCGTTCTGATGCATCGTGGCTTGGTAGTGTAATGATGAGAAAAGCGTGCTAGCTCTAGCTGAGAATTGGAGACTGCTAGCTCAGTCTCTGGCCTGCTCCCGTCTTGAGACGTTGCATGCTTCCTCTTCATCCCAGATCCCGGAGTTAAATGGACTACAGCGCTCTATATCTAAGCAAGCGCTATAGTAGCCTTATATGATTTCGGGAGCCTTTCAACCCCGTAGTTAATTTTATTCGAATATTAATTGGTAGAACTCATAGAATTTCAATTTAATTATCAATTTATTGTTCAATTATACATTGAATACAAAACGGTTTGTCTGTATTCAATGTAAGAAAATCTTTATTTTTAATAGTAGACATAACTATTTCGAAATATTTAGCTCAATTTTTATATGTAGTACTATCAACTTCGTCGATGCCTTCGAGTTCAGATTGTCTGTCTATCTTTAATCTAAGCAAACCATTTTTATACATTGTGACGGCAAACTTCCGGTTTGCGCTATCGTCTCGATCGCGTGGCTGCCTGCGAGGGCAGCACCTACCGGCCGGGGAAGAAAAAGGGGAACTTGGTCTGAAATGGGGCGGAACGCGCGTGAAGAAAGAATGACCAGTCGAGGAGTACCTCTAGAATCAGTAGCAGCGTGAATAGAGGAGTACCTTTAGCATCGGTTACGGCGTGAAATGTGCGAGAACTATATCTAGACGCGAAAAGAGTGTAGATATACGAACTAGTGGATTGCCAATAATTTTTTGATGCCGCTGTCGCACGAGGTTAGCCAAATCGCCATCGTAGACTGACTATGAAATACCAGGGATTGATCTGACGGGAGCGGCAGGGCGGTTGAAGAGGCCTCATTTTCGTTGTAGAAAAGCGGCAAACTGAGCCACGTGTCGAGAGGTGACGTTGAATTGCTCTCTCTGATAGCGCGACTAGTCAAGTAAGGTAAGTTGGCCAGCTTCGCGTTATGATTTTTGTTAAATAACCGCGTGTAATATCTCAACTCTCCCCTCACGTCTGCGAATATTAAGAAACCGGTAGCGAGCGAGTATGCAAGCGAATTGAACGAGTGACTGTAAATGAAATGGCGGTGCGTAAAATGTCGCACACATCGAATAAATTAACGTTAATGAGCAGACCAAATGCGTTGTAAATAATTTTTGTTAATAAACTAGTCCATATGTGATCGAAATGATAATCTAGTTTTGTCCCTTGTTATTGCTTAGTTGGTTGACTGATATCTGTCCTTCCCCATGCCTCGGTTAGTTAAGAAAATTGATTATTTCGTTCTCATCGCGCGCATTCTAGTACGACTGCATTAGGTGAGACAAAGGAATTAACACGGAATTTATACCCCGTTACAACATTTATAACGTTACATACAAAGTTAGCTTTATTGCCGTAATGATATATTTGTAAAGTTTTTAATGACAAAGGTAATTCTTTCAATGGTGGACATCTCACGTCGCTTTCAAGATCTAAAATTTTTCTGTAAGAGGAAAAAAAAGTTTAGTTAATCATGATTTTCATTTCTGACTATATGACAGAAAAAAAATTTTTTTTATACTTACTTTTCAAATAGTATTTTTTGAAGCCATTGTTTCTCTTGCAATCCTTTTACATAAATATTTCTAGAATTATGTAAATGATTACTCAAAACACTGGGTAAAATGTTATATGATATAATCTAGATCTCCATAATATTCGAGGATGGGTCAATAAATATTTAGAAAAAGATACAAAAATAATTTTTTGGTAGATTTTTTTATTTTTCAACATAATTTCCTTTTAGCTCGATATACTTTTCCAGGCATTTTTTCAGTTGTTTTAAGCCATCAGAAAAAAATAATTTTGGAAGTTCCGCAAAATAGCTATTTGTTTGAGTTATGACCTCCTCGTTCGAGATGAATCGTTGTCCGGCAAGCCACTTTTTTAGGTTTGGGAATAATAAAAAAGTCACTAGAGGCCAAATCTGGTGAATACGGTGGATGGTCTACTAATTCGAATTTCAATTCCTTAATTTTAACCATTGTAACTAAGCAAGTGTACACTCGTGCATTGTCTTGATGAAACAGTATTTCTTTTTTTTTTATTCAAATGAGGACGTTTTTCCTTTATTTTCTTGCTTAACCAGTCCAACAACGACGCATAATACTCTCTGGTGATTATTTGTCCTTTTTCTAAATATTCGACGAAGATAATTTTACGTGTATCTCAAAACAGTGACTATAACCTTGCCGGCCGATTTCACTATCTTCGCCTTCTTTGGAACTGGTTAACCTTTCACAATCCACTATTTGACTGTTCTTTCGTCTCATAAGTGTAGTAGCGTATCCATGCTTCGTCTGCAATTATGAATCGACGCAGCAAGTCATCAAGGATTACGGTGGATGCGCGCCAAGAGGGCCTCAGAGCAAACGTGACACTCATCTTGCCGAAATTTGTCTCATGTCCAATTTCTCATGCAAAATGGAAGTGACTGTACCTTTCAAAACCCCTGTGGCCTCAACTATTTCGCACAATTTTATTCTTTGGTCACTCAACACCATGTCGTGGATTTTATTAATCATTTCCAGAGTGCTTACGTCTACAGAACGGCCTGATTGATGTTCATCTGCAGTTGATGTACGGTCACGTTTCAATTCATTTATCCAATTATAAACAGTTACAAATATACGGGCAAATACACCATGAACTGCATCTAACTCAGCTTTGATTTCTTTCGGCATAAAGCCTTTCAAATAGAAATGTTTTATCATCGCTTGGAACTCACTTTTTTCCATTGTTAACAAGAAACAAAAGTTGTTTGATCAACGATGAAAACGGAACTACTGGATGGATCTGGCTGAATCTTCGGTAGCACTCTATTTAATAGTGACGTTTGTGGATGCAACATAAGTTACTATGCCTTGAACGCCATCTCTTGAATTTCTAAGTACTTATTGACCCACTCTCGTACCATGTTGAAATATTTCTAACCATTTGCGAATAAATGGTTACGATAGATAGCTTAAGCCAATGATGCCTTGGTTCAAAGAAACTTTTCCCGAGATAGCCAGCGAGTATAACTCAGTTAACCTTCTTCCTCATAAGTACTACTACTAGTAGTGGTCGTAGTAACAGTCATAGTAGTAGTAGTAGTAGTAGTAGTAACTCCCAAACAGATATCGAATTCGATTGAAATAAGTTATCCAATATAGTCTACTAACAAGATAACTTCTATTCCGTACCTTGAAGATATAATGCGAAATATTTGGAAAACTTATTACGATCCAAACACAAACGTAGATGACTTTATTAGAATGAAAATGTTAACAATTGCTGCTATCAATTCATTAGAGATTTATTTGAAACAGTGATTTAACTAGAGCAATACGACAGAGACGTCAAACTTGCGCTTTTCATTTATATTCTATCAAAGTCAAATTGAGTAATTCAACAAAGTATCGCGAAAATATACACACATTACAAGAAAGTCCAAATCAAATTTAAGGAGATAGGGTTGTATGACGAGAAATTAATTCTACCTTTAGAACACGTATTATTACTGAAGTCATCATAAATCAAGAACATACAGACATAAAATCATTTTTAGAAGGAGTAAATAAACTTTTGCAAACTTAAATACCAAAATATCTTGCTATGCATAATGCTTTAAAGATAAATACAGAAATGTCAGCTCGTTTATTATTCAAAAAGACAATGTAGAGGATATTCAAATAAAGTATTTTAATACAGAGAATGTTTCTTTTCATAAAACGTCCAATCTAAAAGTATGGTTTACGAATTATATCTAAGACGTTATACTCAAAAATATAAAAGTATTTCAAGATAGAGATTCAGGTAGGTCATTCAAAAATATCATTAGAATTAATATTAATAT